CATAATCTTGAAAACTCTGATTCTAACATCTGACCTGTGTGTGCTGATGATTTCTGAATACGCCAGCAGCTAGGACTAGGGTTTTCCACTACGAAAAGGGACCAAGAAAAAATGATAGGAAAAAACACTTTTCTGCCTTTTCAAAGCAGTAATTTAAACCCCCAAGCGTGAAAGCAAGATCAAAAAGTTCCAAATTGATTAATATGAAAATTACTAAACCATCAAAACTGCTGATGTCGTAAACAAAATTTGTCAACAGCCACTAAGAATTCGTTAAAAGTAAATTTATTGTTTGTTTGAAAAAAACAACTGTGCAATATGTGCTTCTCAAGACATTTTTGAATCTGGTTTGTTGTTCATCTCTTCTCAGGCTTCAGTTTGGCAAGGCTAAATGAGAAACACGGTACAGACACACGGTTAGTAAGGACAGGTAAGGGACGCAACAATAACTTGTGTTTGTCATTCTCTCAAAAGCCTAAATGGCACAATCCAAACTACAACATTAAGTTTTAAAATCTGATCATGTTCATTGTGTTCTGAAAAATATCGTATTCTAAAAAGGGAAAGATAGCAGTGTATCTGATTTCAACCAAACAAGGTTTCAAACTAAATTATCTATTCCTCTTACAGAACTAAATAAAACAATGCTGCAGGGACCCAGGTAATCATTTTAAATGTAATTGGAGGATTCAATTTTGTGGTAATATTGCAACATCACTTTTGCTCTAGCTGTCCACAGCGGCTGTCTCTCGGCTATCACATATGGACAGCAGCACAGAGTAACTCTGTGAGACGTGCACCATAAGGTCACTTCTAGGAACCCTCCGCTTTAGAGTGCGTACAATTCTATGACATTCAAACAATAGCAATTCTAATTTTTCAGGCAAAGCAATATCAAACTGCACTTATTCCAGGGCTGAAAAAAAAGAGAATACATAATTTTAAATGCTTAAGATCTGAGAATATTGTCTTAAATATAAGATTTTATTATCTTGTTGATTATTTCAATTTGGAGATGGAAACTAAGGCAAAAACATGTTGCTTAATAATGCTGTTGCTTTCCTTTAAAAAATGAATACATTTAAAACACTAAACAACAGATCTCTTTCCTTCTAAAGTACAGACTTAGTTCCCTCTTTCATGACAATTTCATATAATTGCAGAATTCTCAGAAATAGTTTATGGGATTAAATCTGAATTGCCAAGTATCTGAAAATCAAACATACACAAACACTCAGCGTTTCAGACCCTCCCTCCGCTCTTCGCACACAGAGCGAGTACACTAACAAGTCATGGTTACCCGCTCAGTGAGCACACTCGGGCTTCTCAGCCACAAAGCCATTTTAATTAAGGCAACAGGAGCTCCCTACGTGCAAAGAAGATGCAGTACGCACAGGGGAAATGCACATGAACACGAGACACCTGACATTTGTTATCTGACTCCTTACAGATCTACACGTGTGATTCAACACTTGCACTGCAGCAGCTCTTAACACTTCGTACACTCCATAACGTATACACAGAAGACTGATGCACACGACTCACAATACTCTCTCCTAGAGCTGTTTATCAATAATTAAATCATTTTGTGACTTCTATTCAAAGTGTGAAATAGAAAACCATGTCACCTGTATAGACCGATGAATAAAAACACCTACTCAATGTGCCATGGTTTCCTCTGATATGGTTTTAAAAATATGGTCCCTCTATTTGGCCCTCATGAAATTTAACCAAACATCACAGACAACCTATAGCGGTAGGAATAGTATATGTGTGTGTGTGTCTGTGTGTGGCGGGGAGATGGTGGTAAGCCTGTGAGCCTGTTTTTGAAGGAGAACATTACTTACTTCCTCAAGCGACTAAAGAGAAAAAGCTCATATGCCTAGAAAGCTAGACTCCCAATATCTAATGTCCCTTAGCCTTTCTGTTATCTGAACTGAAAAACAGAAACAAAATTACAACACACACACACACACACACACACACACACTCCCCTCTGCTTTGTACTTCAGGCCTGCATTGGGCAGCCATACTTGAATCTCCTTACAAACTGTTCTAAGAAATGTCTATGCATACACACGTTTTGATTAAGCTATTTAAAAGCAACACTGCTAAGGAAATCACATCTTATTCTTCTTAAAGGAACAAAGTGAAAGGAAGAGACTAATTTTAAAATCTTACCATATTCCTCTATGTTACTAGAAAAAAGAAAACATTAAAGAATCAGCCTGAGACTCTATTAAGTCTCAAATAATTAGATCCGGTAGGTATGGAAGGTAGTTAAAAAATGTTTTGAAAAACTTAACAATGCTTTAAGAGTCTTCTCAAATACTAAGGACATATAATAATGGTGTGAAAGAAGGATTAAGAGCCAATAGTTAATAAAACAAAAACCTTATTTTATGTTTAATAAATTACCCTCAACTCATTTTCAAGGAGCGGAATTTGGCAAGCTTCAACCCTTTCCAGACAGAAAACAGCGATGTTCAACAGAACTAGACAAAAGACTACAACTCTGCTTAAGATATATTTGCATCCTCCATGTGGTGGTGTGCTGCTCTCCTGGGACAAAAAGCTCTCTTTTGTGGAATTCACGCACTCTCACAGTGTAAGTGCTCTCCTCACAGCTGACATCACTATGGGCGGAGCTGGAGGAGCTGAAGTGGCAGACCAGTCTACAGGCCAGCACCACGCCAACAGCACCGGCGTAAACAACCTCAAATGCAGACGTCACGGTAAGATGTAGGACAATAATCAGGAAGTGATGAATTTTGAGTATTAATTACCTTTGATTTTTATAGAACTTATTTAATTTTTAATAATGGCTGTGTTTAACAACCAGTTGGCAAAATTTCCAGAAATCGAACAATTGGCTCTCACAAGCCAACATGGGCTGACTCTAGCAAACCGTTGATGCCAGGTACCTGAAAAGTGTGGTCACCTGTGACTTTCCTAATAGTCATTCTTAAACACTGGGAGAATATGAGCTTAGTTTTTAGGGAAAAACCTTCAGCCACTGCACCTAAACATAAATTGATTTTCAAGAATATGCAGGCCTTGGAAGTTACAAATGGCTCAACTTCTTTATCACAAATCTGGCTTTCACTACAAGTTATAGGTATTAATCTATAGAATTTGATCTAGAGAAAACATCATATAGTGTTTTATAGGACTTTTAGCAAAAAGGGGGTTGGGTTGGGTTGCGTTTTGGGGTCACTTTGAAACAATATATATTTCTTCATGTCCCCCCCACTCTCCACTCTTCTGGCCCCCAAAAGAAAACTCTACTACCATAAGGCCTCTCTTCTTCTGGAGTTACAAGTTCCAGAAAAAACAATTTATAATTAAAATAATTGATAAATTATAAAATAATTTATAAACGAACTAGAAGTTTGTTTATTTTTTATTCCATGAGAAGAACAGAGCACTGTATCTATCAGATAAATGTTAGCTGATGAATGAAAACTAACAAGCCATTAGCTTCAATAAGACTTCACGAGAGCCCCTGGAAATGAGACTGTGCTACAAGTCGGATGGTAAGTCTCAGCAGAGGCTTCCTCCTATTTCGTGTTCTCTAATTTAAAGAAGACAGTTGTACAAACTTTTTAAATTTTAATTGATGGGCAATAGTCTTATTTCTGTGCATTATGTAGGTGCCAGTTTATGAGCTGTCAGTTTGCATATATGGAATTAAAAGCCCCCTGACTAACACAGAAACTGAAATAAAGTGGCAGTTAGAGCAATTTCATTCCATAAGTGTCCTTGGACATGGAATATAATGAAGAAAGATGATCTGACCGAAAATGCATTCAAAGGAGCAGTATATAAACAAGGAAAACTCTAATGTAAAGGTATGAAAATCCCAAAGGTTCTGCATCATTGGAGATGGAAATCCAATCATATTTAAATTAAAGCTGGTCCTGCTAAGAGGCCAGGCTTCGTGTTATCTGGTCCACAGCTGACCTCCTCCACGCACTTGGCTTCATCAGACATCTACAGAACACATCTGTTGTGTTGTGTAGCCTGCAGGCTGGGCCATGAGTCCTTGACTTAGAGGCTTGACTTATCTATAACTCCCTGAGTTATTGAGGGCAACCTCAGGACTATAAATCAAGGAATTCTATGAAAATAAAAACTCGTTCACATTTGGCAATTAAAAGAAAGTTGAAAGGAAAGGATTCATAATGCAGGATAATGACTTTTTGCAGAGTCAAGTGGCTATGCTGTATGTTTTCCATTTTAAACCATCATCTTGATATGTTTAGGGGTTTAATTTATGGAACAATCAAGCATTCTTTATATTTAACATTAAATACCTGAATATTATAAATCACCTCAGATGAACATTTATGGGGGAGTTTCACTGCAACTTCTGAAGAACTTGTCACTTTTATTGTCTAGCAATGATTTGTAAAAAATGATATGCTAAGTAATCCTAGAATATAATTTAGGGACACAAAAACAACTGTCAGGAAACAGCCTGAGACTACGTTTAATGAAATCTTTACAGACTGAATTAATAAGTATTAAATTAATCAACACAGCTTAATTGAAGCTCTATTTGTAACATTTTTTATTAGACTTGTTATTAATGAACCTTTAAATGCTACCACTAACTTGAGCTCTACGTTAAATTTAAATAATGAACCATTGTTCACACACACAAAAGAACAAACACTGCTTTAATAGTCCTTTGTCTTCATGGGGCTTTAACCCTTACACACAGCTAAGAGAGACTGGTCTCTCCTTCCTCTCAACAGTTATTTACATGGTTGGCAAGGTATCGTCTTTAAGGCTGCTAAAATGGTCTGAATTAACTCAGGTGAAATCCCTGAGAAAGTAAAAATGCAGGAGCTAAGACTGGAAATTAGAAAAGAATTTTGGTTGACCTCAAAGATAGTATTTTCAAATGTGTGCTTCTAGTATTTTTTGTTAACCTGACACTCACACGTTTCCGGATGATTGGGTATGGGTTTGGGTTTGGGTTGGTGAACACTTACCTGAACATGTCTCCCAAACCCTTGAGCATTCCCTTCTTGGCTTTCATTTTATCCTTTTCCTTCTCTCTCTCTCTCTTTTTCTCTTTTCCAGTTTTATCCTTTCTCCTCTCAGTCTTATCACCTTTCTCTTGGTTTCCATTCATTTGTCTCTCCAGAGAATGTGAAGGCTGGTCGCTGGCTGTGGATACAGACTCTCTCCCTGATCGTGAACTCTCCTCTGTGTCTTCTTCCACTTCGGAGGAAAAAAAAAAAAAGATAAGGACTACAGTGAACCAAAGGAACAAAAAGAAGGAGGTCAACATATATGTGAGGATTTTACTTTTCTACACTTTCTACAGTCGTAAGGCCCTGCCACCTGCCATCAACATGGACTGCAATGCTGTTTACTTTTGAATAGAATTAGAACGGAATCCATGATGTGGGTGATTACTATGCACATGTGTCTCCCTAGGTGAAGAGGATGTGCCAATAGTAAGAGAGAAGCAGCTTCCTAGCCAGACGCTGATTCACTTGTGGTAACACCCTCCTTGACACAGAGCATGCACTGGTGGCGGGATGAGCAGGCCCTCCTCACACAGCGCAAACCCCTCAGGGTCCTGTGCACTATATTTGCAAAATGAAAAGAACACAAGCAGCACCTCCCTAAGTGCCTGCTTTCCTCTTAGGTAAGGACAGTGTAGGCCCACTCTAGCTCCTCATTAATTTGTTAAGCTGGGCTATTCACTAATAAGCAAACCAATGTCAGCACGAGGATGTCTATCCTCAGGCTCCCAAATATGTCCACGTGTCATTTCTGCACACAGAAGACTGGGTCTTCAAAGCCTCTGTAACTTCTCCTTATATTGTCATTATATAAGGCGAACATCATAAAAATGCTACTATGGGTTCTAATCCGAAATAATTTTGCACATCCATCTACACAACGGCAGGTGAACAGAGGCAGATGGAGCCATGAAAATGTGTAAATCAATAACCTCACACTCCTCTGAACTTTGCAGATGAAAGAGCTACTTACTAATAACAACATTCTGCCCTTTGAACCAACACCTAGTGAGCATACGGTCTAAGGGCACCTCAACACCCCCAACTTCTTACATTTGAAAGAATGACAAGTAACTAGAGTAAGTTTGCACCTACCAAAAGAATTTTAAGAATTTCTATATTAAGTAAGAAACAAAAGATGCATATGTTAGCCATTCTCACAAATCTTTTCAGAGATTGGTTGCCTAAGGTTTTCTTCTAAATATCATAAGAATTATTGGGGCTTCAGGTTACTCCTTGAATTCTAAGATTATTTTTTTTTTCTGCATCAACAAATAAACTATGAATCAGTGTTATGGAGCTCACTTTTAACACAGAACCAAACAGAACAGTTAACCCTCTTCCAATCTTTCACAAAGAACTGACCTCTAAATCAAGTTAATATATCTTCAAGTGAAATTCAGTCTTGCCTCTCTACCAGCAAGGGGCACCTGAGTTAGCAATACACAATATCAAGAGTATATAAGACCAGCTAAAACAATCTCCGTATCTTAGTGTTCTGCTATTAAACCCTCACAAATATGAGAAGAAACTATCAAACGATGGTGTGACCATGGCCAAGTAATAGTTTTAAAAAAATGCCAGCTATTTAGCATAAATACAAAAAAAGGTGTAGAATTCTTTTTTGTTGACACATTTAGTTAAAAACAAGAGCCAACGTATTTCCCAACCCAGCAGGTCATGCCTTAGGAACAGCCAAAGAATAAAAATGTCACCGTGTCTAAATCCAGAAGGTAATCCGCAAGGTATTTTGGAGGTCATTTAGACCAACCTCTTCCGTTTCTTGCTGAGGAAACAGAGAGGTTTGGGGCCAGCCCACTCCCAGTCTCGGGCTCCTTCTACTATTATATTCTGTACAGTTGTACTTCAGCAAGACCTTCATGCATTTCTTTGATCAACTCTGTTTGTGACTGCTCAATTCCACGCTTCATACAGCAAGCATTTGGGTAATCTATCATCCAGTCACTGCACAGTCTGCCCAGAAGATAATTCCAGCCGTCAGCATTGCATTTCAGAAACCTATTGTCAATCCTGTGGTCATTTAATGCTGTGACTTGTGGCTCATATTGATGAAATCACTCAAGAAGCTGGGTCAAATGTGCACAGTGACTTTAGGACTGGCTAGCAACTGTCGGGAGAGAGGGAGAATCTCCCTCTGCCCTTTTCCTTAAGGTTCTTATGGCTGGCCAAATAATTAACAAGACAGGTTAGCAGGAGAAAATAAAAGTTTAATAACATGTATACATGGGAGAAAGCAGGGACACTGCATTTCTCAACACGATAGCAGAAATTTTCATCTTAAATACCGTCTTCACCTAAAGACAGAGGAGGATGTTGGGGATGGGAGGTGTCAGTTACAGGAGATTACCACTAAAGCACTGTAAACAAGAGTAAGGTTATTATGCAGATATAAGGCCTCACCTTTTACATTGCTAAGTTTCTAGAAATGAGGTCATCCCTCCTCTTCCCAATAGAGAGAGGGAGATACCTTTACAAATGGAGATTTCCCTTATAAATGTAAATGTTTGTCTGGCAACTCCTTGCAGGGCCACCCAGAGAATGTGGCCAGAGAGACATAAGATGTGCTTGTTGGTGCCTTTTCTATTGTAACGTCTATTTTACATTATATTACAGCCATCAGATAGAAGATCTGTTCCAGGAAGGAGTTACTATGTGAAATTCTTTAGGCAGTTAGTGGGGGAGGTCAAATGTCCTCAGAGAAAACAACCAAGGTAAAGAGATAGATTTCAGGGTGGCCAAATCTTGATCTCCCACACAACCATACAAATGACTTCAGAAAGGTTGGCCCCCCTCTGTACTGGGTTATCTAATTGTGAGCCACTCTCTTCCTCTAAGGGACACACCAGCTTTTAAAAAAATTGCTTCTTTTCCTCTCTGTCAATTAATATATAAATAGGAATTGTGCAGGTTTATTAGAGGAAGCCAGTTACAACTTTCAGATGAGGCTTGCTAGTGAAAATCCATAGCTTTAAAATGAAGGCTGTAATTTTTCACAGTCTACACAAAGCAGGGAAAGAATATCCTGGCCTACTGGCCCAATGGCTAGCCTTTTCAAATGAGAGCTCCCCAAGAGAAATATAGCTTAAGCAGGTTTGCAGCACCTTGTCTAACACCCTTGAACACGGCTGAGCTCCAACTGATTGCAAACCACTGCTTCAACCTTGTGGGAAATGAGTATGGCCTCAACTTTGAGATAATCGACCAAATAATTATAAAAACTCAAAAGAGTTTTCGGGAGCTATGAAACCTAGATCTGTTGGTATACTCAAGCGAGATAAATGGATGCTAGTGAATTTCCTAAAGTTCCCACATGCAAGACTCTTTTTACCTATACTTCCATAGCTTTATGTACAAACTGCTATAATCACATTTTTCATACATTGTGATTACATGTCTGTCTCTGGTTCTCTAAAATGAGGACTGCCGGGCAGACAGCAGCCGCTTATAAACGGTGATTTAAATGAAAGACTACTGGTAAACCTGACTCATGACTTGATCCCAACCAACTAAACTTTTATCCAATCTCTGGGTATCATCATTCCTCTGGCTTCAGAACAATGCCTGCTCTCCTCTAATTAAGTCTGACAAAACCAGCCACACCCAACTACAGTGACACCAGGAATGTGCACTGTACTTGGTTGAGCTTTAGTCAGTTTCTGGTATATTTTAATGCTATTATTGTTAGTGCCATATGTATCATCTAATGGATTTTATAACCCTCGACAATGTCTGAAACTATAAACAAAAAAACGAGCTCAATAAATGTAAATGACTTAGTCTTCCACAGCAACCATTATCATAAATCATGAATGGAACTATCAATAGCAATTCTGCTAGTTTTCTGCCTAATAGTTTTGGCAGAAGGACAAGGGGCATATGTCTGCTCTTGGCTCCGTAACAGGATAAAGGCAGTGCCTTCACAACTAACTATACGCTGAAGTCGTATTTGTTGCCAATTCTTTTCATATTCACAATAATTTTCCACTGCATGTAATACAACTTATTTTCTAAATTGGGTGAAACAGAGAAAATTAGTATTAAATAATTTATTAATTTTGGGTTTTGTAACCTCATTTTATAAAATCAAAAATCCTAGCTTAGTTTCCTGCCCCAAGCAAGTGGACTGTTTTAAAAGGATACTTGCACATTTGAGAATTCTTTATGTTTATTCTGAACATTCTAATTTAGATAATGCATTATCATAGAAACTCTTCTGGGGGTGGACTGATTTAACTAATCCCCTTGAATGCCAACTAATTAAAAACATTTAGCAATATGTGGCTTCATATGTACAAACATAAGATGTTCTTTTAGAGTATCACATTATATATGCTTCAAACTCTAAAACTATTTGATAGAAAAAATAAGAATCTCTCACTTTACCCTGTCCCTAAGCAGAATTACTGTAGTTTTAAAAAGTTTAAATAAATTGGTTACACCTGTTTAATTTTAAAATATGTATATATTCAAGGTCACTGATATACTAGTCAGATTTTTTTTTTTAAGTTTTAAAACCAATCTTTGTACAGTGGGTTTTATGTATCTTTATAATAAGGTACATAAAATATTTTCATTCCCTTAAACTAAGAAAATTTTTAAAAATCACATTAACAGTTTTTCAAGTAAGAGAAGTACTGGTACTATATTAGCAGTAAATGGCTTGATCTATTGTGTTCATACAGTAAATTATAATGCAAGAACTAATCATAAACCTGCATTTAGATAATTTACTATTTAAATGCTACATAAATTTGACATCTATTTCTCTTTAATTTTGCTCATCTTTACAGACTATTTGCTTTCCTTTTGCAGATAGTCCACACAAAGAAAGATGATTATCTCCTTCCAAACAAACAGAAATTTCTATTTTTGACTAACATTTCTGCCTGTTTTAACATGCTCTATACACCGAACTATCAGCTACTTTCCCACATAATTACCTATAAAAGACAGATACTTTCAAGTTTCTCTTTTTAAAGAAGGTATAACACGAAGCTGCCTATTTCTCTTTAATGCAGCACAGTCATTCCGCAATTAAGACATACCTAATTACCATGTTTTCAACAGATGCAAATGTAGCTCAATTAAAATTCTGGTCCATGTTACAAATTAAGCTACTCAACTCTGCAAGGTATCACATTAGGACTGGGTCACAAAGAAGTTTGGAAA